TTATAATGGCAGCTCAAGTGCCCTGGGGGGGGGGTGATAAGGGAGAGCCCCAACATGTGCTAGTGCATCGGAGGTCTAACAGGGTCTCTGGGGCTGAAGCATGCTCACGGGAGAGACTTGAGGTCTAAAGCACAATATCTTAAATCTAAACAATACTTGGTTTACAGAATGGAAAAAGATGTTTCTCGCATCTCAAAAGTTTTATCTTAATGTGAAATGGAGAAGAAAAAAAATGAGTATTTCAAAACATATTCCAACAATCAAGAGCTATAATTGGGGCCAGGGGGTCAGGGACTCAGCTCAAAACCAAGACTAATCCTGCAGTTTCTTAATCCGACAACCAGTATACTAGACAGTGCCCTCTTGTGGGAAAAATTTTATAACAGTCCTTACTGACTCCACAAAATATTCAGAGGCAGCTAAGTGGCAAATAATTAGTTGAAATTTTGAATATAAGTATTGATGTAATTGTATTGACCAATAATATCTACCTCGGGGTACTTGTTGTGAGGAACTGAGCTAAATAAGTACTTTAACTTACTTAATCTTTACAAGAGTGTGAGACAGGTACCACTACCTGTTTATAAACTGAAGCTTAAAGAGTCAATTTCCAAAAGTACCTCCCAAAAAGGGGATGGTATTTAAATTTTAGACTCTCTTAAGAAATCTGACTAAAAAAACCACACACAGAAAGAACAAGAACTGTAGAAATTTGGGAAACATTTCCTACTCTTTGCTCATTTTTACTAAGACTGTTGATTCTGTTTTCACTTGTAACAGTAAAGTATGACCACGTAAGGGATTTTAGATTATGGTGGAAACATCAGATTTACTCTAAAACAGGAGCCACTGGAAATTCTTATAAGCGATGCAACATCATCAGTTATGCTTTTAAAAGACAGTCTTGCTAGCGTGGAGGATGGAATGGAGTGGGACCAGGGTAGAAGGCAGCACAGGTCTTCTTTCCAACTGCTTCTCCCAACTAGAGGCATTACCAAGCATGCGTTATCTCATTTAATCCTTGAAACAGTGTGCAATGTAGCCACTAAAATGGTAGTGCTAATACTGGTGGGAATAAAAACCAATCTGATAGTGAGGCACAGGTTTCTTCTCAGCACAAAAGAAAACATACTGAGTCAGTAAATTATCAGACTTTTCTGCTGAAGTCTATGCACATATTACCCTCTACCTGGCTTATCCTCCCAGCCTATCTATCTCTTCCGATGGCAAAGGAAAACGACTCATGCATCCCCAGTGAAAAGCTGCAGCTTCTGAGCACTTTGAAGGGTGGCTTCCTATTTGCCTATGTGACTAAGACCGACGCTGGTATGAGCAAATCAGTAAACATCCCTGATTTTTTCCAGGCCACTTCACTGCTCCATCTTCTGTCCTTGGTGTCAGTTGCTCCATCTTCATTTCTCTGAAAATAATACCTACCTGGTTGCAATGTAATTGTGTCCACTTAGCTATTTCTAATATTGAGTTCCTTATGGTATCATTCTCTTGTTTGTCATCAGCTTTCCCAGCCCTACCTCACTCACTCTTCTATGCACCTCCATGCACATTGTGCTCATCTCGCTCAGGAACAGGAGCCAAATAAATGGCAGCTGAGGGAGTAACTGTAAAAGAATCAAAGGGAGAGTCCCACTGTCCTCTACGCATCTTGGACAGTGGCTCACATTTTAATAAAATGAGGTGACAAATTGATCAACACTTTAAGAGCAGTGCAAAATTTTACATATACCTGATTATACATTATGTAAGAGACACTATAATCAAGGAGTTACCTAACATTTTTTGAGACACGGTCTCCCCTAAGGATCCAGCCTCATAAAGGCACTACCCAGTAGATCTAAACAAGAAGTACAGAAAGGGTGAAGCCAACCTGAGTTTGGGGAAAATGTTACCATCTATGGAAACAAAAACACAGATCTCAGGAGTTTTAAAGAAAATCCTGTTTAAAGTATAAGAAACTAAAAAGAATTAATAATATGAGAAACTATATCTACAAAGAATATAAATAGGAAGTTTAGGAGAATCTAAGTAAAGCTATTCAGCTACTGCAAATCTGCTGAAATAAATCAGTAAAGTCACAACGGTGTCTTGCAGACAGTCAGCCTGTCCAGTGTAATATCTGAAAATAAGAAGTGGACAGGCAAATGGACTGGTCTCAGTTCAGATATTAAAGGATGGATATATAGTTTCACTTGCTGCATTATGATAAAAGTTGCTGCACTGTAAGAAAAAATAGTATGCAGTCACATCTTGCCTAGGATAAGAACAATGTGGAATAAAGTGGGAGGGTAAAGGATCCTGTTTTTTGTGGGATTTTTGGTCCAAAAAGGAAAAATGGTCTTAGTGAAAAGGAGTGTAAAGGAAAGGAAGGAAGTAGGAAGGAATGCCTTCAAGGATCACAGGAAAAATACCTAACACTATCACCTGCTATACGTGTCCAGGTAAGGTCAAGTCTGCCCCAACATATGAGAGGTACAACCCAACACAACATACAACCATTCATGAAGTGCCCAGATAATACACGAAACAGAAAGCTACATAAATGTCTTTCACATTTAAAGAAACTTAAGTTGTTCAGGAATTAACAGTTTTATTGGCCTTTTGCTTCTTACATCTCATGGCACCTTCTGACAAGTTTTCTTCTACCAAATAAGTTTCCAGACATAGTTAAAGGTGAGACAGGAAAAACGAAATGAATTTTCAATTCAAAACATGGGGAGATGGAAGGCGGAAGGAATCTTGTCACAATTTATATTCAGGTAACATTTTGGTTTATATATATATATATATATATATATCTTTAATTCAACAAAATATCATCCCAACTACTAAAGCAAAATAATACCCCCAAATTCCACATTCATAAATTTCACCAATATTACTAGAGACATATAGTCCAAACAAATTCAAGAAAACCAAATTCCTAATTTGGTCAGAAATCTCTATGATTATCACAGAAAAAGCTGAGACGTCTAGTTGACAATAAAGAAAATACAGTTGTTTTGAATCTTCACACATTCATCAAACTTTTATTCCTTGATTTCAAATAAATTTGGGGATTGGAATTTTAAAAATTTTTCCATGCTCAAACATCTTAAATATTTTTACTTAACATTTTCAACATACCTATAAAAGACAGAAAGGTTGATAAAGTTTTCTATTTACAATGTAATTTTTAAAATTGTTCTCATCTGCTGTAAATAACTCAGCTATCTCAATACTACTGTCTCCCTATTTCCCCTGAAAACTTCAAAATAAGTGAAATACTAAGAATGTAATTAAACTAATTATTTAGAGAATGTCACAATCATTTATATTTTTCAGAGGTGGCTATTTTTATCTTTAACCTTTAACAAAGTTGAGATAATCATTTTCATAAAATTAATTTTTTTTAGTAAAAAACTAGACTCCCATGTTTAACACACACACACAAGTACTCCTTGAGTGAGTATAATCAAATTTTTTGAAATATTAGTATAAAATTTTAGAACAGATCTTTGAGCTAGTATTTGAGATATGTTGTTGCAAATTAGAGCACTAACCACATCAGTGGTATTCAGTCATAACATAATCATTTTAGAGATACATTCCAAGTATACTAATCCAAACATAGTGGGCAATTAGCAGTCTATTAGCTGGTGTCTTTATTTTCTCTGACTTCTTTAAAATGTACCTAGTAATGGATTTCACTAAGCTTGGAACATGGCTGACCTAGATCCACCTGCTCACTTACTGAAAAACCTGCCTTTTTAATAGCGAGCCATACTTCTGTCATCAAAGTAATGCCTTGTTTGATCATGCAAACTATTTTATATGAAGCAAATAGATTATCAGTGCCAGAAACACACAGAGTAAACAAACTTATTGGCAAGTGCTCTTAAACTGGGTGAGAACAGTATGGTGACTAAACTCATCAAGGAAAGACAGGGCTCATTCTACAATCTTTAACGCAGCAGTTATATAATAAAAGTATGACAGTGCTTTAAACCAGGGAGAATAAAACAATTTCTATACCTAGATATTCCCTAATCAAGTTTTAAAATTATGCTTCACAGGCTTGCTTTATGATTTAATTCTTTTAATGGCAAAATCCATCTTGCTTATCAGAAGTTCATTCTGTTAAAACTGCAAAATTATAGAGCTCTGTTCAGTTCCACCTAAAGACAAACTTTAAAGAAAGTTACCGCTTACAAAATAACTTTGAGTTGCTTACTGATATTGTATATTCATTTTCTTTAAGTTTAGTTATCAAATTTTCTAAATCAGTTGACCACTGACCTCAGTTTTTACTAGCTTGAGTTAACTGCAAAACTGAAAGCTAGGAAATTATCTAATATCAAAATATTAAATTCTCAAATATCTCCTCCAAAAATATTTTGTAAACTGATTATGTTTTATCAAAATCTTACACATAATAAAGTACTAAGGTTCTCTTGGATTTCAAAATATGAAACTTCTTTCAGCATTGTATTATCCTGCTATTGTTAATTGCAAATACAACATATCTTAAATACTTGATTTATAAAAACTTAAAAGTAACAAACTTCCATATCAATAAGATACACCATAAGTTTTGCTATCCCTTTAAATTCCTTAAAAGTACAAAACTAAACTTTTAAATAGTACTGACCAAATTTAATTTAAAAAATCAGATAGACTTTCTTAATAGTCCAAAACCAGGAGGAAAAAAAAGATACCAAAGAAGGGTAATGAGTCCAGGTAAGGGTCAAGGAAAGAAATCAGCCACTGAATATTAGACATTTTTGGGCCTAAAGACCAAAGTAGGGCTACAGGACATGGTGATGATCATTCCTGCTCGCTTTTTGGTATTTTGGCACAAAACAAAGATGGTTACAAAATCCATGGACATTTTCAAGTTTGGTTTACATATATATATTACAAATATATATGTGTATATATATATATATCTGTAAGTATATGTAACAAATATATATGTGTGTGTGTGTGTGTATATATATATATATATATGTATATGTAATGCTTGTTCAAATCATAGGTTGTAGAATGTATGGATTATATCAGTTTAAGCAATTGGAAAAATACATTTTTGTTCTATAGTGACTATTTATTGGTTAGAAAGTTTTATTTTCCTCTTCACAGTTTCGGTGACTGTCTCCCACTGGTATCATCAACCAGGTCTCTCAGACGAGATAAATGGTGCAAAGCCCTTCATTAAAAAGTATAAAACACATTACAAACCAGTATTAAGGATTGAACAGGCAATGCAGACAGCATGAAATGGAGATTATATTGTGTATTAACTTCAAAATTAGTATAAGAAGTGAACTATACAATAAGTATCAAACTGAGCTTTTTCCTTATAAAACCATGAGTTCTGAATAACTGAGGGTTAGAACAATTCACTGAAAATTCATGTATAAACATCAATTAAAAATTTTTATATCAAACTTTTTCTTTAAAAATATAAGTAACCTAGTAAAAAAAAAATAGTAGGTAAAACTATACCACACTTTCCATGTAATTTTCACAACAGCTTTATGAAATGACCTTTTCTTCTGGTGTACTGTGTATATCATGTTAGAAAGTACATAACTCAGTTGTAACATGTATATTCCAAGAAAACTAAATTTAAAAAATAGCACTGGAGGATCAATTACAGTTCTAAGAAAACCCATTTTATTGAGCAGGGGAACAATCAGTAACATAAAGTCAAATAATGTAGTATACCTACAACCTGGCTTTTCTCTAAAATAAAGCCAAGCCAATCAGATCTTGATGAGAAATCTCAATTACCCTTCAAGCAAACCAGGAAGACAGAGGCCTTTAACTTCTCAGTGTTCCTCTAAAATTACTCTTCCAGTTTTTCGACACCCCTTATCCTTCAGATTCTTGAGAACCACTCAGAAAATGTTAGTCAACCATATTTCAGATCTCTATTTAGAGACTAAGAAAAACAGTTATAATGTGCAGTTATCTCTATTTGTAAGGGGTCTACATAATCACATACTTTATAATGCAATATATTGTTTTACTTTAAACAAAGTTGTAATTCTATTTGTAAGGGGGAGTTGAAAGGTGAGTTCTACAGTCTCTAACACAGGTTTAATAAATGTTAAGTGAAATAATATTAAATTTTGAAATCTTTCATTTTATTCAGAATAGATAAAAAAAATAGAAAAAATTATGTGTTAATCACTACATTATATCTATTTCCCTGTACTTTGCTTCTTGAAAACTTTATTCAAATGTAATAAAAATCTGAATTATGTTACCCTTTAAACAACTTAATTGAATTTCTGAGATTCTCATCTTCAGTAACTAAATGATAACTCACCCAAAGTTACTAAACAGTCAGAGGTAAATTTAATTACTCTATCATTTCTACATGAAACTGTAAGTCTTTCTTTATCTGAAGAATTTTCTTCTTCCTAGAGATACATTTATGAGAAAGAAGATATTTTATAAATATATTTGGGATATAATTTCCTTTTTCTTTTTAGGATTATTATTTATCTACCTGTGATTCAAAAGAAAGAAAAAGTTAAGTGACTAGAATCCTAACTATTTGCAACTCTGAGGACCATAAATCCTTGGATACAAAGTCTCTAAAATTAGAAAAAAAAAAATATATATATATATTCTTAAGATGTATTCTGTTTTTCTGACTACAGTCCAAAAGATTGTAACACATAAATTGCTAACTATTTGACAACTTTAAGCCTAGTTGTTCATCCACTGAATAGTTAGCCAGACATTAATGCTCTTCAATATCCCCTTTCTTTGTTTGCTGATTAAATATGAAAGTAAATAAAAGGTCACACTAAAGTTTAATTAAAGGCCTTCATTAAAGCAATGCAAGAAGGCTTCATACTAACATACTTTACAATTTTTAACCTACCTGCATTTAAAATGTTATTTTAAACAATAAATACATATTACTAATTAGATATTTATTTTAGTATTTTTATGATCATGATTCAATATAACTGATTTCTTTCTAATTCTATATAATTTACTTCATGCCTTGAGAAAACAATTTTAGCGAGAAAGGCAAAAAGGGGTAATGGGTTAAGAAAATTAAATAAAAAAGCTTAGTAGAAATAGGACATAGTCAGTCCCCTACCTCAGCTATATATTCACCTGGCAGTTCCTTTCACTTAACCTTCATTTGCCCTCAGAATAAAACAATCCACTTAGAGAAGAGGTTATCAAAATTATGAACTCATAGATAACTTGAAGGGAGACATAGACGATACAATTATATGAAATTATTCTTGATTCTCTTCTCTAAAAAAGTGAGAAAGCAGGCTAGCAGGGAAAACACTTTAAGGGTGATGTTACAACAAACATCACTTTAAAACTGAAATAAAAAAAAATTCTTTTATTATAATGTAGCTATTGATGAACATTAAGAGTTAATACAAATAATGAAGCATCAATCTTGCTCCCTGAAAATGGCATTCTATACATTGACAAGATTATTGATGGTTTTAAATAGAAAAATGTTAACAACATTCTTAAATAATTCCAGCAAATAGTAAAAGCACCCACAGTCAGTATCAATTATAGCGATAATTGAAAATAAGCACAACGCTTATTTTCACTAAAGAATGATTTCTTCCAGGATATGTATTTTAATTCAGAAAATACATGAATTCTGTGACACAAGTTCAAAATCAATATTTTTACTAACAATGGAAAGCTCGATGTCATCCACTTTAAATTTTAAAGCAGGGTTAAGCCCTTTATCCTAGGAAGCTGAGACCCCACATCGAGTCTCCATGGACACTAACCCACTAACATTAATTAGACGAGTGTTACATTCAGGGAAACTGTAGAATCAAAATCTGTGGTTTGAATCCCACTATAACTTCCTCTTGCTAGCTATGAAATAACTGCAAGTTACTTTATTATTTGATAGTTATTGCTTGATCTCCATTGTTAAGATAGTAACAGAACTTACCTCAGAGGGTTATGAAAATCACATGAATTATATTCAAAAGCACTGAGAACACTGACTCTTGGTAAATATTCAATAAGTGTTGGTTATTATTGTTATTATTCACTAAATACTACTAGGTATAGAACACTAACCCAAGTACTATGGCAAGCTAGAGTGAGGCACTATTTTTAAGCTTAAGATTTTAAATTAAGTAGAGTTTGGGGGCATAAAAAAAAAATCACACATACATACATGTATATATTTTAAACTATAAAAACAAAAATATAAATATTATATCATGTGTGTGTGTATATATATACATATATATATATATGACAATTAGAGTCATAAGTTTTATGTCTAGTGCTTTTCTATTACTTCTTTAGATAGTAACAACCTAAGCAAATTCTGGGAGAGCTCCCCCTTAAAGCTAAGTGACTTACTATCATAAGAGTAAAAATTTTTAGTTTTAGTGTTTCCTAAGTTCAGGATCCCGTCTTCTGAAAGCACCTTATATACACGCACAAGCAAGCCCTTAAATAAATACTCTTCTGTGAATGCCATGACTAAAGGAAAGACTTATACGCTACCCACTTTACTTAAGGTAATATATAACTAAGAAAAAGGATTAACATTCTCAGGATAGTCAAACCTATTTTTATAATCAGGATACTGTATTCTGTAGAGATATCAAATGATACATTTCTGATTATTACACTTATTCTAGAGGAAATATACGGTAACACATTTCACAAACAAGTTGTTTTTACAGAATATCCATACTAAAAATATCTTTAGTTGTTGCTATTACTAAGAAATGAAGACAACCTTTCTAGACCATTCTCATACATCAAATTTGGTAATCTTAGGTATTCTTGTAAAAGCCCAAGAATGTTTTAAGCAGGCTCAAATGAATGCCACAGAATTAAATAATATGTTCTAAGAAGCTTAAATATCCCCAGTATATGTTCTCAGAACTTAATTCTACTGTGAAACATTCTGATTTCAATCAAGGAATGACTAAAATGGACTAGTAACCATAACATTTAGAAATTAATAGACAATACTTACTTTTGAAGTGACCTAGTAATAGGAACCATACTTTCCTTCAGTTGTAATTTAGAGAAATCATCTTCTGAAATCTATTATTAAAAACACCAAATGTAACAATGTTTTAAACAACATTAAAAAATACTGTTTTCATTTCTAAGAAAATACTTCTAGCTAATACATTTTAGTGAAGCATTAAATATTTTATTTTAAATATTTTCCAATTTATTTTCAATAAGCTTTTAAACTTATATCCAATAAAAATCAAGTCTGGATTGAAATTATGACTTTACCAAACAAAGTCATATCTCAATGATGTGTAAAGGTAAGGGAAAAGAAGAATGGATTGCATTCTATAGTTAATGGTATCATCACTAGACTATAGTAAGAGAAATTATGAAATATAATTTAACTAGGCCACGAGGGCACTGAAGAGCTGATATATTTATTTGTAAGCAAAATTAAATTTCAGTTTCACTGCTTTACAAAGCTCCACAATGCAATTATTAAGTATTTCCTAGGTACTAAATTTTTTACCAGACACCAAGCACTACAGTAAATACTTTATATAGCATATCTCAATTTATCTTCTGAACAACTTCAATTTACTGAAGAGGAAACAAACTAAAAAAGGTTAAATGATTTATTGATAAATATTGCAATTGCTAGTAAGTAGCAGAATTAGAACTCAAAACCAGACTTGGGGGAATATAAATAGGCTTTAAGCACTACAAATAAAAGAAAATTCAATCCCTACCAAATAGTAAGCAGCCCAAAGTAAAAACAGACTATCAGATTCCTGGGAAATACACACAAAAAAGCATAATGGTTTTAAAATAAACTTGTAAAGAATGGTAGTAAGACTTGACTCAATAATAGTGGGTATTAGACCATTGTGTGATAGAATATATACACTTGTTGAAATGTGAAGTTATGCTCCTAAAACTTACAGTTATAAACCACTATTACCTCAGTTAAAAAAAAAATAAAAATAAAACTTTACATTATGCTATTCAGTAGATAAATAAATAAAACAAGGTAACAAAATTAAATTCCAGATAGCAAAGTTATAGGGAGAAATCTAATGTAAAAACATTTGTTTCAGGCCTTCCTTAATATAAATACTAGTTTTGGATCACACAGAATAATTTTGTAGGGCATTAAAAAACAACTCTTGGGCCTCCCTGGTGGAACAAGGGATTAAGTCTCAGCACTATGAAGCTATTGACAGCCACTACAGCACCAGTTTGACCCCGGCCACGGAGCTGACACATCTTGCACTGCAGACCTCTCCTGTCTCGCCTGCTGCTCCCCCCAACAGTGAATTTCAGTAGATCTGGCTGTTGTGCTCCCTACTCTGTCTCTGGTGAATCCTCTCACTTCATACCTGTGGCCTACACTCCAGCTCTTGTATGCATAAATACATAAACCCTGTAAAAAAAAAAAAAAGCTCTTACAATTGTACTATCATATCTCAACATTTGTATTTATAACCATAAACTAAATAGAAATACCTAAATAACTAAATAGAAATTCAAAGGCATACAACTGCAGAAATTTAATGGCATTAAATCTGAATAAATAACTTTCTCTTTTTAAAAAACATTTTAGAAAGAGTTATTTACTTATGTGCACAAGAACTAGAGGTGCAGTGGGTGAAAGGATTCACCAGAGACGAGTGGGGAGCAGAATGGGCAGATCGACTGAAATACACTGCTGTGGGAAGTAGCAGGTGAGGCAGAAGTGGTCTGCTATGCTATGTGGGTCACCTCCCTGACTGGGAATTGAACTTGTGCTGCTGTGGCTATAGATAGCTTCACAGTGCCACCAGGAAGCCCTACATTACTTTCGAAAAAAAATAGGCTTCTTCCAGGGACGGTGTCTAGGGGCAGTCAGAATGGTTTAGTGTTAACTGAACCATCTGACGACGTCTGATATACCATCGTAGGCTACCCTACAAATACAGTCTCTAATAAAATAGGCTTTCCCAACTTCCTGGTAAACAACAGAATTGTTTCCCTATATACCAAGAAAGTTGGGAAAACACCAAATCCGCATGTGTAGCTTGCACATGTGGTGTGCCCAAGCTGACTTCAAAGCGTTAGTGCTGTGAGACTAGTTCCTAGGAGGCTATCTAAAACAAAAAAGCATGTCAGCAGACCTAGGGTGGCTCCATGTGTGCTGTGTGTCCAGCACAGACAGGGTCAAGGAGACTTTCCTTACTGAGGAGCAGCAAATCATTGTGAAGGTGTTAAAGGAACAAGCAGAGTCAGAAAACAAAATAAAAAATAAAGCTTTTTGACTAATAAAAGACAGTACAACTCTATAACATGTGCTGTGTGACATCTTATAACTTGAAAGTAAAAGTCAATCTGAAAAAAGTAACAGAAGTCTTTTCACAGACCTTAATTCATAAATCAAGTTTCTGCTTACTTGCTTAACTTCTTCTTTTGGATCTGTGGTTTTATTCTGATTAAAACTTTCTTGTATAGCTTGAAGATTAAATAACATTTGCTTCAAGGCTTCAACAGGACCATGATGTTTCCCGCCAGAAAGTGTACAGCTCTGAGATTAAAACAGATGAGTAATTAAACCAGAGGGGGGAAAGTATATTTTATATACTTTTTCCACAACATAAATTAATACAGAACTCCAAACAAAGCACTCCAAAGTATTTTAAGAAAAAATATTGTAACTCACCACTTCCCCATATCTAGTCCCCAAATAGAGCTAATCATTAACATTTTGACACATCCTTTTCAGTTCCTGCTCTTCTAAAATAAACAAACGGTATGCTTACATTTGCAAGAAATCCACTTGTACATTTAAAATCATAGGTTAGAAATGAAAAGTCCTCAGAAAGCAAGTAAACAATATGCTTTTTCAGGTATGTAAATAAAGCTGGTTACCAGCTAAAACAAGGAGTAGAATTCCAATTTCTCTGCATACTTTTAAAGGTCACACAGAAAAAAAATACAACAGTTTTTTAACTCATCATGGGCCACACATTTCTTGCCACCTAAAAAACACTATACACCATTATTCTTACCTGTGTCAAAAGAAGGAAACAGCATTTAACCACATAAAGTAGTCAAAGTTCTTTTAAAAGACTCTATAAGAAATATTTTAAATTTTCTTTTAAAAGCTCTACCAACCATTATTTGTACATAATTTAAAATGAGTTGCTGGTATCCTGATAAATATCCACAAAGGTGTCAACTTAACAATAGTTCAGCATAGACACTATATATCCTATTTGCATTGCAAGCCTAGAGGAAATTACTGGCTATCATTAAAATATTAGAAGTTGGCTCTCACTCATGAACAGATTCAAAGTTAAGCTAAAAAGATTTTTTTTTTTTTAAAGATTTATTTATTTATTTTGTGCATACAGAACTGGGGTACAGGTCAGAGGCTCAGGGGCGGTGAGAGGCTTCACCAGAGACAGAGTGGGGAGCAGAACAGTGAGAGGCTTCACCAGAGACAGAGTGGGGAGCAGAACAGGCAGATTGATGAAGTACACTGCTGAGGGAAGCAGCTGGCGGGCCAGGAGAGGTCTGGCTCGCCATGTGGTCTCCTCCGGGGCAGGAGGCAGGCGGGGATGAACTCATGCGGAAGTGGCTTCAGATTCTCAGTGCTGTGCTTTAACCCGCTGCGCCACCAGGGAGGGCCTAAGCTAAAAAGATTTTAAAGACACTCCACAGTTTTAAGAACAAGGTAAAAGAAATAGGGTATAGGAATATAAAATGGTGTAGTTGATATGATGTGAAAATACTTATTACAAAAGCCCAAACTGATAGGTGCACAGAATCATTTTCATTGCATTCTTGTCAAGAAAGCATAACCCGAGAAAACTTCAAACCCAAATTGGGAAACAACCTACAAACTGACAGCAATCTTCCAAAGTGTCAAGGTGGTAACAAGGAAGATTGAGAAGTTGTCAGATCTAAACAGATTAAGGAGACATGACAATGAAATGCTGCATCCTGGGACAATACAGTAGAAAAGCTGGTGAAAACAGAAAAAGGTCTGTAGTTAATAGTAATATGCCTATGTTAACTGCCTGTCTGACCATTATACAATGATTATGTGAGATATTAACACTAGGGGAGCTAAAATAAGGTTGACAGGAACTACCTGTATAATTTTTGCAGCTTTATGTATATCTAAAATTATTTTAAAAATAATAATAAAAACTATTATGTGAGTGGGTAGAGAAAAGGGTAAAATTGATTAGTGTGTAATATTTACCCATCTCAAACTTTGAACTATTTCTGCAATTTCTTTTTCTAAGTAACCGGTACCATCCAATCTTGGATTCTTTCTCTGAACTGTCAACATCTAAAATGTATCCCAAGTCTAACCATTTCTGATCACCTCCAATACATTTACCCTAATCCAAGCTTCTACAATTCCTATAAAAGATTATAAAAGCCTCCTGAGTTTCCTGCTCCTTTTCCAATTCCTCTTAAATATGTTTCATATATTTTAAAACTCCAATGTTTTCATTCCTACACTTAAAACCCTCCAGTGACTTCCATCTCACTTAAATAAAACATAAATTTTACATGCCATAAGTTTATAAGACACCACATGATCTGGCTCCTGGTTACTTCCCTAACGTTAACTCTGACTAACCTTTCCCATGTCCATTCTGATTGAGCTACACTGAATGGACACCGCTGGTCCTTGAACGTGCCAAACCCACTTCCACCTTAGGGTTTCTGCACTACTAACTGCCAAATTTATTCCCCTGTCAGATACTTGGTTTATTCACTCACTCCAGGTTTCTGCTCAAATATTTCAATAGAAAGGCCATTCCTGACCACTTTATCAAAAAAAAGTGTACCTCATTTCTCTATCCCCAAATTTTTTTCATTTTATATAAAGTAACATACAGGTGTTATGTTATGGTTTTACTTAGTTTATCTCTCCAACCAGAATAAAAAGTCTAAGAGGCAAGGGGTTCCTTTTATTAGTAAAAACAGTTACCAGAAAGAGTTTAGTACTTTGTACTATCTTATGTACAGCTATTCGGTCAGTCATATCTGACAGCCTCTACTTTTTCTAGTAAAGAGAAAGACACATAAAAAGAAAAGATTCAATTTTTTAGTTAATTTTTGCTTGAGTGTTCAACCTCTCAAATCACCTAGATGTTAAGATCCCAAAACTATTATTTCAATATTTAGTGGTCATAGGTTTATATTCTTAAACAAATTACACATCATTTCTCATGTGCATAAATACACATTTATGCTTTATTCAGGGATACTATCAAAATGCACATATGCTGATTTTATAAAATTGATTAACCTTCCTACCTTAGAGAGATTATTATAATTGTATCTTAATTAGAAATACAACTCTCAATAATCAATTGCCCTATGGGAAAATGTAATTCACTTTATGATAATCTATCTTGTCTTCCAGAAAAAAAATAAAACATTTTAAAGATAACTTAGGTTTTCTGTAAAATGCAATACCAGGGCTCTCCCTAGTGGTGTAGCAGGTTAAAGCACTGCATTATGAAGCTTCCCAAAGCCACTGTAGCACCAGTTCCATCCCCGGCCAGGGAGCTGACCCACATGGTGTGGCAGACCTCTCCTGTCTTGCCAGCTGCTCCCCTCAGCAGTGTACTTTGTCAATCTGCCTGTTCTGCTCCCCACTCTGTCTCTGGTGAATCCTCTCACCCACCACACCTTTGGTCTATACTCCAGTTCTGTAAACATAAATAAATAAATCTTTTTTTAAAAAAGCAATACCAGACCTCTTTACTCAAGAAATTTAAAATTAAATTATCAGTAATTCTGGGAATGTTGTCCTTACGGATATGTATTGTAGAAGAGAATACTGGGGTCTTTCTTTATAATTTCTAAATAATTTAGAAATTAATATCTATATGTCAGTCATAAGTCACCTTTAGTAAGTTAAAAGGATTTAATTTCACTCACCTGATTATCACTATTTAAAAAGTTTTCAAGGAACCCTTTAGAACACTTTGCACCTGAAGTTTGTTGAAGGCTATCATCGGAATTAACAGGAACAGGAGATTTGCTAAGTAGAATTTAAAGATACAAGACAACAAGTAAGTTCTTAATATGCAAAAATTAGTAGCTAATTGAATAGTTACATTTAAAAACAAATGGCCACCAAGAAATAACTATATGGATATGATTTATATTGATATTCCTTGGTAATTCCCTCACTTCCCAAGATTGATACCAGAATCTAACTCCTCCCATCTCCTTGTTTTTTCTTTAAAACTTTCAGGAAAAACTATAATGAACTGAAGACACTAAACTTCAACCAAAGAAGCTTTCAACTATAGGCAATGTTACAAAACTCATTTATTTCAAATAAGTACTACATTTTTTCCAAGTAACCACTATTAGCTAATGATAATATTTAAAATCCCCACAAATTATGATTTCAAAATTATTACTCTTAATTTGAACATCTCTGATATTATTTGCTAACCTACTTTAGTTTTAAAGTATTAGTAATACTTTAGCAAAGCAAAGTATTAGCAAAGTATTACTGCTACAGTATTTTACAAACACACAAACCAACTGAAGAAAATAACAAATTAAGGAAAAAAGAAAAGAACTAAGTGAATTGATTGTTAACCCTTTTTTTTTTTAAAGATCACTAAACCCCAATAACCGAAAAATAAAGCTAAAGGGGGTAAAACACTGTTAGAGTTTGTAAGAGAACTATCATATGTTGACAACGCTCTTGATTATTTTCTAATTAACTGAATCCTTGCAACAAAGCCTAAGTATTATTTCTCCTTCTCTAATGTACAGAGAAGTTACTGGTACAAGTCTCATTCAGCAAGGAAGCACACGATGGGGTTCCAAATTGGAGTAAGTGTCCATATTCCAAACAATAAGAAATGCAACTGAGAAGTAATTGAAAATGACTCAGGGATTTAATAGATTCTGTCAGTAACAGAATGAAAATTTAGACAATTGAAGATAATAAATTATCTATGGCAGGATGATACAGAATTACCAAGAATGAACTTTTTACATTTCTGTTATAATAGCGTTAAAAAATAAAAGCTTTTCTGTTAACTCCCAATTTTTACTACACGCTTACATTCATGGGTAGATCTGAGCAAACACTTTAAGTGATAGTGAGAAGCTATAGCATAGAAAAGTTGAGTGCAAAAATGAAACAATCTGAGAAACTACAAAAATTTATACAACAGACCAAACAAGAAAATGCACCATGACTTAAACAAAATACAAGCAAAGAAAAAGTAAAATGTTAGTGAAAAGAATAGAGAAGGGCTATGGTGACTTGGTGATGGGAAGCCCACGGGGATTACAATTGAGATGAAAAAAAAAAGTACAAAATGATGTAAAAATAAACTATTATATTATATAAAAAAAGAGAAGGGAAAGTAAAAAGACACAAGAATATCATAGTATTTCTTTCTGCAAAATAGCTGCTTGCCGTTCTAATTCGAACTAAACATACACCAATATTTCAATAGTGCAACCAAAAGAATACACCACACCACCTTGTGGTAACAAATGAAAAATACAACTTAAAGCTAGCAACACAGCTATGCTCTACTGAAGAACCATGTTATTTATCACTAAACTATTTAAAAGAGCAGATATTCACGAGATATTTTTCATGTGGCAAACTAAACAGCTTTTGCATTGCAACTTACAAAGTAACAGGAATATTTTCCCATGATCTTTCAGCTTCAAGTTTATCTAATGAGCAAGGACTGTCATCCTTTTTCATAGACTTTGGTAATTCTTCAGTACAAGGTTCTAGATTACTCTTGGCCTTCAGAATAAGCAATTCAATTTTGTCACCTAATTTAAAAGATTAATTAATTTTTAAGGGAAAAAAATAAAGCAAATAGAGCAAAGTCATACAAAAAACAAGAATTCAGATAACTTGGAATATACACTTATCTGTGACATTAAATTGTGATCTTACATTGAAGAAATGTAATGATCTTACATATAAAGAAAGTTAGGACATTTTCTTCACACAAAAATGTTACATAAATGAAGACCATCAATTTTAAAAACAGGATCACCTGACTGGCACAACAAGAATACAACATAAAATCTCCTAGAGGTTATTAAACATACAAACACTTTTCTTTGGTTCTTTAAAAACAAAACAATTCAATTACCATTGAATGGCTTTTTGGAATGTCCTGGGAGTAGATCTTCACACTGCCATTGGCTATGGTCACAATCACATGTATATTCATTAACTAATCCTTTACCATCATTCAAGGAATTTGAAATGTTTGAGGGTTCAAAAGAATATTCAAAACAATCTAATTTATTCATAAGCCGAGAAGTTCTTTGCGCCCGGTAACTATGTCTAGGGGAATGTTGATCTTCTTGAAATATTTTATAATTATTTTTACTGCTTGTATCAGGTAGCAAATCTTGATTGTGGAGCCATACTGGGTATTTGAAATCTGGTATACTTGTTATCCCTGAAACATTCAGATCAGACTTCTGGCTAGTGAACCATCTTGGGTAATTTTGTTCAAGATTGTGCTCTGAACTATCCTTGAAAGATGATTTCTTGGAAAAAGATGGTTCAGAAATGCATATACTAGTCTTTTTCGTAAGCTTTGGGTTCCGCAGCCTCCCACATTGCTTATCAGTCACATTTGTATATACAACAGGAGTAACTAAGTTATCCTTGCACATGGGAGGGGAGGGCTCTTCAAAAGTTTCATTAATTTTAGTGTTTGATAAATTGAGTCTTCCAGTGCGTTTCTTAATTTTCTTAGTAGTTCGATGACCTGGTCCAATGTAAGTGAAAGAAAATGATCCATCTGCCGGAAGTTTTAATAGATCATCAGTTGTTAAGCTAATGGAATCTATGTCGTTAGCAGTCTGTCTTCTGTAGGATAGGGACTGGAAGCTCTTTTTGTGATCTAGAATTTCAAAAGCTGAAAAGCAAAGCAACTTTTGTTTATTTTTCTATATCCCATAAAAGTATTTCATTATATTCAACAACAACAAGTGAGAATTAAGAATTTAAGAATAATTTTTACCACTCTATCTGATTAAGGTTAAAAAGTATAGGTGGGTGACACAGGGTATGCTTTCTCCTCCCCTCATAGCACTTTGTTTTTATTTCAGCACCTTTTTTTTCCAACATCCTGAATTTTACCATGTGCATTAATTACTGTTTTTCAGTTTTTTTCATCTTATACATATCCAAAGTACTAGTACACTCACATATTGGTGACTTAATATTGGCTGCAACAAGGGGGAAAATTCGTGTCCTTACCTACTACCCCTGCAATAGCATTAACAATGAGAACAGGCTATTCTAATTCTCCTTTTTCTGGAATATATTGCCCACATCTCTCTAAGAGTTTTTTTCCCATTCAACAGTCATTCCATAAGTGCTCAGCAAAGCATAAATTAGGTTATCAAAAGCTGCATTTTCCAAGTTTGTCTTCATGGAAGCCTTATAAAGAAAACCTCTCTTAACATTTTGTGAGATCCAGAGATCTGGAATATTAATGTTGTCCTAACCTATCAAATGGGATTGATCAAGTATAAACTTAGAAATGTTGCTAGTTTAAATTCAGAAATGTAGTTAATGGAAACTAAAGCCATTAAGCCAACGTTCTTTTCATTATGCTATAATAAAATGTTCTAAGAGTTTAGAAGCAGCTACCCACTATTATTGAGACATTCATCAGCTTCCCCTTCAAGGTCAAAAGAGGATCTTAATTGAAAATTACCAAGAATTACAGAATATTTAAGAAACTATTCATATCTCAATATTATATGTTATTTTCACCCTCAAAAGAACAAAAAAGTCTAGCTTTCCAAGTCTACAACCTATTTCTCAAAAGCTTTAAATCACCTGACAAAAAGAAAAAAAAAGAATAAAAGCATACCATTGTTTGATTTATAAATATGGTTGGAGAATTCTGGCATAGTGGTAGAACATTTATCAATGTTAATCTTTCCAGTGCTTGCACCAAGATACATTTGGCTTAGATCATAATCATCTATATAGGCCTGTAGAGCCTGAGAAGCAGAGCTATACAATTTGTTCTTATACTGAAAGGAGGCATCAGACTTAGAGGAGTCACTACCACTCAGGCTGCAGCTTGTTAACAGAGAAGACACTGAAGATTCCCGAGAACAAACTCTGTGTTTTATATTTGATTTTGCCATGACTTCTTCAAAATAGATTATTTCTATTCATTTCTCTTAAAAACTGTAATACAAAAACAAAAGGTTCCAATTAAAGGAATAAGTCATATGTAGAAAAATTACTAATTATCTAAATGTACATTTTCTTTTCTTTTTTTTTTTTTTATCTGTTTATGGATACAGAACTGGGGTATAGGCCAGAGGTGCAGGGGTGTGAGAGGATTCACCAGAGTCAGAGTGGGGAGCAGAACAAGCATATGTACTAAAATACATTTCTGAGGGGAGCAGCGGGTGAGAAAGGAGAGGTCTACTGTGCCATGTGGGTCACCTCCCTGGCCAGGGATCAAATTTGTGCTGTAGTGGCTGCTGACAGCCTCATACTGCTGTGCTTAACCCATTGTGCCACCGGGGAGGACACACTTATGTTTTCTTTAAAGAATGAAATGCATTATCTAGAAATATTCCTTTTTAGGAAATGTTTACTATAGGTTTTCTGTTATTTTAATTATTGTGTATTTCTTCATCAATAATTAAAAAGCATTTATTGAGCATCCCCACTATGTGTCTGGAATTATGTGTTAAGATTTCCCTGAGAATATGTATGAAAAATACCAAATGACAAGTACTTACTTTTTTTAAAAACTCCTATTACTTAAGTATTTTCTTATGGTGATAGTCTATGACGTCACAATACCTAACATTCCCCTAAACAGAGTATTTTTCTATTCTTAAGTCTACCACCAAGCACTGTAGGCAATAGCTATCTACAAAATAAAATCTTAAAGGCACCAAATAAGGTAATAGAAACAAGAAAGAATAAGGAAGAATTTTCACGTTCAATATTGTAAATGTCAGTATGTGATGTTAGCCAACACTTTTCCTCCAATAAAGGCTCTCAAACAAAATTATTTATAATACTTACCCATAACAAGCTAAAGTACAAATCCTAATATAAAATGATCTAACAAAATGTTCTTTCCCTAATAGTTAATAATAATTTTTGAACTTACTTTTCTTCTATTCTATATTCAACTCTTGAATATAAAAAAATAATTAAAAAGCCATTAAAGACAAATAGTTTGAAAATCATTTTACTGTTTTTCCATGATCAAATTTAAGGGAATTCCTGTCTACTTTTACATAATAATAACAGGTCTATATTTGAAAACTGAAGGTACTACTTCATTATATGAATGCATTTCTTTTAAAGTTAAATCAACTTTCTGTACTGAAAAGGAAAGAATGTCTAGGAATTAATGTTAAGTTGTCAAGTTAATAAATTTTTGGCTACATGGAAGTGTTTAAGTTATAACAATTTTTTTTTTAAAGATTTATTTATTTATGCACACAGAACTAGGGTACAGGTCAGAGGTGCTGGGGTGGTGAGAGAATTCACCAGAGACAGACTGGGGAGCAGAACAGGCCGATCGATGAAGTACACTGCGGAGGGGATCAGCGGGTGGGTCAGGAGAGGTCTGCGGCACCATGTGGGTCACCTCTGGGGCTGGGGATCGAACTCATGCGGAAGTGGCTTTAGCTTCTCAGTGTTGTGCTTTAGACTGCTGCGCCACCAGGGAGGGCCCCAACTTTTAATAGAATCTTAATAGCTATCAAATTTCACTTAAAAATACTGAAAGCTTTCAATTTAAAGCCCAGGTCATTCTGACTCACCCACAGAGTGTGTCAAATATCTTTGCAAGAGATCTGACAGCAGTCAGTGGAAGCAGCAGCACAATAAGATAATATTTAGCTTCTCTGAATACTGTCATATGCTGTATCTCTAAAGAATGGCTAGACAAAGTCATCTTTGCCTTTCTTTACGTCTGTCAATAATCACGGTTACAGTAATTATTGCTTTAACATCACCAAACATTTTCCTCCTTACTCGAACACAATACAGATCTACCAATTTAATTTCACAGAATGTAAACGCGAAAAAAAAAAAACCCTAAAAAGGAAAGCTGTTAGTCCTCAGCAAATGCATAACATTTTCATTCACACCAGGCAAAAACAAGACCCACAACTGAGTTAATAAGAAACGTTTTCAATTTTTTGTTTACAAAAGTAACAAGCACAACTTTATCAACCCTCTATAAAACACAAGCATCATCGTGCTTCACTTACCACCCTGTCCAAATATTTTGCCCACCCACTTCCACCACCACCCACATCCATACAGCTTACCATTTCCTCCATAAATTCTATCATTCATATATTCAAAGGAAAGCCATCGCTCCAACAGAACGGTAAGTCAATAGCCAGAAACGCCAACTACCTTAAAGAATGTTCTGCGTGAAGTAACCAATGAGACTAAAACACAGGACATTAGGAATAAATCTTAGAAGCAATAGCTCAGCTCATTATATCAAAGCTCAATAACAAAACATTCTACCAAAAAAAAAAAAACAAAAAACACCCTATTAGGCGTCAAGAGTGCGCGCCAGAGTGGGCGACCGTCTTCCAAGGCGACGTTCCCCAAGCCCAAGCAGACCACTCGAGTTCCTGAGCCCCACGTCGTACCCCCATCCGGCTCCGTCCCTCCCTGGACAGCGCCCCTCCCCAAAAGCTTTCCAGTTCCCACAGGGACTCGGATCTCGCACCCACCCCTGTCAGGAAACGTCTCCCCCTTTTCGGGCTGTCAAAAGATGAAAGCTCCAAGATAATACACCCCTTTTTCGCTCGAGCTCACCGGCAAAGGCCCAAAAGGAGATAAAAATACACATTTCAACTCTCCACCGAAAGCCCAGGCCTGTTACCGGACGGGATGCGAGACAAAGCATCCCCCATCTGGACAACGCCCCGCCCGAGGCTGCACCAGCTTCTACGCCGTCACAGCCGAGAGTTACGCCCGCGCCCGCTTTCAAACCGAGCAAACATGGCGCTAGCCTGCGGTGCGCATGCGTAGGGCTGGGGACGGGCGGGGGGGTTAGGGGACCGCGAGCCAATCGAGGGGCGGGGCTGAGGGGAAAGGGGTGGAGCGCTAGATCGCACCCGCTGCTGGGAAGTGTAGTTTCTCCCTCCTCCTCATTGGACAGGGGCCGTGTCTGAACTGCACTCGTCACCGAGCAGTGTCTGCGCAAAGGACACGCTGAACTGCGTTCTGCTGGCTTCCGGGGCTTTGAGAGAGGACAGGGGGTTGGGGGGGAAGGGGACTTGGGGCGCTGGAGACTGCCTTTAGGTCACCCAGGGCCAGCTCTACGGCCCCATTCGGTCCAAGCGATCTCAGCATCCCGACCGTGAGAGCACCTTCTTCAGGATAAGACAACTTCTCGAGTAGGGGACTGACCCTGACCACTACCCTCTAGCGACTCCAACCCTACCCTCTAGCGACTCTGAACCCTACCCTCCTGCACTTGCCATCAGCCCCTCGCACTCAGAGCGGTTGTGGGATTACAAGTAGGAGTTTGGCCAGGGATGGGATTTAACAAACTCACTGCGATTTGATTCCTAGGTAAGAATGGCAGTGACCCAGCACGGATTGGGGACCCAGTCAGGTGGCCCAGAAAGAGAGAGATTTATACAAATAGATGTAAACACCCAGTAACAACATATGTGAACTTGACTGCAAGGCTGGGGCAAGATATGAGGTGCAAAGAATCCAGTTTCAACCAAGTAAGTGGTGTGTTTAAAAAAAAAAAAAAAAAATTCCACCTCTGTTGGTTTATTTTCCACTGACCCATCAGGTGAAGGTAACTTTGACCGTTATGCCTTCTGAATGTGTGCTAGCTCATCTGATGTTACATCACCAGATAACACAAATATAGTCTGTTTACTCTTTCTTTTCAACTTCTCTAGCCCACTGAACTTAACCTTTCTCTTTTTAGCAAATGAAAAAGTCCAGAAGTATAAAATTCAGCTGAGTGGTCAAATAACATGTTTATTTTGACAGTGAGTGCTAGTGATTTGAAATGGGTAAGACAAAGTTCCTACAGAAATTTACACTTCATCGGTATGTTCAGTAATCTAGATCCACCAATATGAAACAGGCTGTTGACAGGAAATAAAGATCTATCTTACCAAGAGTTAATGTCATGAACTCAATTAGTTTTTTTTTTTAATCCTCATCGCATCTTGTGTCTTTTTGTCTTGTCCTCCTTTAAAATAATTTTTTGAAGATTTTTTTCTTAAACAGTATCTTTGACATTTTTTATACTTTTTCTTCTTTCTTGGGGCATATATAGCAAATGTTCCCTAAAAAGGACACAAAGTACAAATAAAGGACACTGATAAAATAGAAAGGAAATTTTCAAACACATTGACCTACTTCATGAATCAAAATAATTCTACTTCTACTTTGTTCCCTCACAGGTTGAGAGATATGGCATTCTCCAAGAGGATTTGGAAAAGAATCCCAGTAGTAATTAAAATTCTGGACTAGATCTATTAAGAAAGGTAAAGAAACCAAGAATCTACAAGGAAGAGGCTATTATAATGGTTTACTAAAACTATTCAAATCTAGATGATAACTAGGTGCTGTGCTCCCTGAAAACCTAAGCAAAAAATATACATCTGTGCTCTAATCTAAAGAGCTTCAGGGGAGAGCTAAGGGGCCCAAGACATGTCTGCAACAGTTATTGAGGCAGCTCTTTGGAGAGTTTCTTAAAAGGTAGAATTTATCTATTTTAAGAAATTAACCTTGATCCCAAAAGGGGACCACAAATTATTTTGATTGCTTTTACATAATATTCACTCAACTAATTCTTATAATGACTGCAAGAGACAGGATTACTATCCCCGTTCTATAGATGTGAAAATTGAATTTCAAAGATAAGCAGTTTAGCCAAAATAATAATGATAGTGCAGTCAAAGTCAGGATATGAATCAGGCTCTGTGTTGTCAACATTATTTCCATCATAGCAACCATCTTCCCCTAACTTCAAACTGGAGGTAGACCAAAGGAACAGTGAAACTCTAGCTTCTTGAACTCATCGTTCAGAGAACAAACAGTATCTTACTGAACTGTTTTTGTCACACCTATCACAGTACCTAATCCCTGTCATATTCAGTAGATATATTTAAAGTCAATGAATTTGAACTTGATCCCCTCTAAAAGAGATGACATTTAAGCAGATACTGATAAAAGACGTTCATACTGGAGAAGAATGTTATAAGCAGAAAGAACGACAAGCACAAGACCATGAGGTCATCAATGGCTTGTTTGTATTTGAAGAACAACCAAGTGGCCAATACATGAGGTGAGAAGATAAGGCCTTATCTTTGAAAGTAGTGAAGACTCAGCTCATTTTGGTGCCACTGATACTCATTTTATAAAGTTTTATCCCCAAAAGTATGGTATCAGCAGATTGCTTTACAAGAGAAAAAATTCTGATAAAGCTGTTAGATATAAAAATAGTTTATTGAATGACCAGTAGGTGTCAGATATTATCCCAGTTTTATATCTGAGCAAATGAGGAAACAAATATTAAATAACATGGTTAACACAACTAGTTGCAGAGAAAGGACCTGACCCAGGTCTCTCTACCTTTAAAACCAACTCTTTACCACATTTTCTCATTTCAAAGACTATGAGTAAGGAGGAAGAGATTCGTGCATGCATGCATTCAAGTAGTTGTTCATTGCTAATTGACAGGGACTATAGAGTTAGTATTAAAATGTAGCACCACATTTTTTTAAAGTTTTTTGTGTCATGGCATTTTTACCATTATTTGTTTTTAAAACTTTGCAGGTAGATGGACTATAAAGCCCTTGCCCAACAAACTGTCCAAGAACTTATAGGCTACAATCAAGACACATCAGGCTGGAAAGTGGTTAAAACTGCAGTAAGAAACAAGTTAAATATGTTTCAAGAGTTTGTTTAATGAGAAACAATTCACTGTGAAGACATTTAATTTTTTTTTCTTTTAGCAAACAAAAATATGTCTGATCTTATTTTTGTTTTATTTTTGGATTTCTGCTTTTCATTTTTTTCTGCTAATTTACTTGTGGATTTTTATTCCCCTTTGAGAAAAAGATCACTGTGTACAGCAAGCCTTCCAAAAAGTTCCTTGGAAATCTGTGAGTGTAATTTCCTGTCTACAATCATTGTTTTAAAATCAGTGGTATTTACATGTATAGTAATCACTGCTTTTTCATTAGCTAAAATAAATGATTTTCTAGTTAGCAGAAAATAGAAATTAATTCATTGTAAAGTCAGTAATTTGAAATGTGATATTAATATAATCAAGCATTATGCATCATGTCTTCATTTTCAAACCTGAAGACTATCAGAAAAAAAATCCCTTCTATTAAATAGTTCACCAAGATAGGAAATTTCCACTTCAAGGAAAAATTACTATAAACAAATATTGATATTTTCATGTTAACAGTAGTATATTATGGTCTTTTAACCACTTCACCTTTCCATTAAATGAGTCACTACAAAGTTTGTTTCCCTAATTTGCCCTTCTTGCTGACGGATGTAATGTTTTTCTATGAGCTGCTTTTAAGGATACTGTTGAGGATCCCTTTATTTCAAATACAGGTATAGTAAAGAAATTGTGCTGATTTTTAACCTTTTTTAAGAGTTCATTTATTACTCATGGTAACAGATTAATATCAAATCATCAATCATGTTTTTGAAAAAAACAAAATTATTCTTTTTTTGAGTGTATTTCTTTCAATGAGTTCACTTTGTGCTTCTTTTCCCTTTTGTCATCTAAAATTTACCAATCTTGTGTTTCAAATATTTCAAGTGTTTTAACTATAGGATAAAGGGCTCTAACTTTCTCCTATTCATGTTAACAATTACCAGAAGAAAATCTCTACCTTTGTTATCCAAATAAGTAGTGATTCTAACAGTGGCACTTTCATCCGGGCATATGGTGAAGCCCAGGTACAGTAGTAGAGTTAACTTTGGGATGGTGTAGCATTTGGTGCTTACAGATCAGACCAGCATAGACCACAATGTTGAAAGTTACTCATTCATTCTCCAAACATGTCCTGAGTATTTATGTACAGGATGCTAACTTAGTCCCTAGTGCCATTCAAGAACAGCCTCAATTAGATTGTTTTAAAACTTGAGTGAAATTTATTATTAGAGCCTAGTTCCCATATGTTGTCGGCAAGCTATGGCCGAAGACCAAATCTGGTCTGTTTGCTTCTGTACAACCTGCAAGCTAAATAACAGTGATTTTTTTACATTTTTAAATGGATGAAGCAAAATAAAAATGAGACTATTTACTGATGTGAAACAAACAAAACTTAAGTCAGTGTCTGAAATTGGTTTAAGAAAGCTATGTCCATGCATTATATTGTCTGTGGTGGGTTGGTTACTATACTAGTAAAATCGAGTAATTGCAAAAGAGACCGTGCAACCAACAAAACCTAAATTATTTACCATGTGTCCCACTACTGAAAAATTTGCTGACCTCTGCTTGAGACCACATTAGATCCTTAAATTAAGAATTGAGGTCACAAGATATTGCATAACTGCACAGTTTTCTCGTTAATTACTGATGGCTTACAAATGCAACAGGTAAATGTTTAGGAGAAACATTAGAGTAATACTAACTAAAAAATTTTAATAACATTCATTATTACAATATATATTAATAAACCTGGCTACTCCCAATTGAATATCAGTATGTTAAATTGCTTAAACTAATGTTTTCTTCACTGTTATTTGTTAAATTAGTCTATATTATAATGACATTATGTTAAATGTTGAATTTTCTCATTGTTAACTATAGATACCGTGTTGAAGGAATAATTCCAGAGTCAACTTCCAGACTATCTGATTTCCTCTACAAACCTGAAAACAGAGTTACATGGGATAAATCACTGAAAGTATACAATATGGTACAAAAGATTGATCCGGTAATTTATAGTTTAATCTTGGCTTTTACTATATTGCTATGTTATTAGGTTTTTGGCTCAGTGATGTGAGCTCAATAAACCTTAGACACCTTGTTTTTTATAGATTCAAATTGAATTGATATCTTCTGAAAAGGCTTAAAACTTCCTTCATAGTTAATAGCTTACTTCTAATTAGTTTTATAAATACATGCTACATTCTGAATCCAGACAACTCTCCTGCACATGTATGACATATCCAAACTTAACTATTGCCTTCTCCATTAAGTGGGGGGAAAAAAGATAGAGCTTGTTTTTTTTATGGTGGCAATTTAGTGTATTTACCGTAGTTGTAGTCATAAGATAATAGGAACAATGAAGTGGGGACTTAGGGGCAAACCATGTAATTTTTTTTTTAAAGAATAATGACAAGGCTGGCTATGATATCATATGGATCTTTGCAGCTTTGGAAACATTTCAAGTATGCCATCTAAATTAAACAGATTAAGAATAAAGGGAAAAGAAAAGCATAACTAAATGGAGGGAAGTATTAAAGTCATAGAGATTAAAGAAAGACAGAATGTAAGAGGCAAGTTGAGGGGGAAGAAGAAAAGTAGGAGATGAAAATAGACTCTGCTTCACAAAGAGGAAAAGAATGAAATGACAGAAGAATGACACTTGGTAAAAAGAGGTAGAAATAAGGACGAAGCTAGAAGTAGGACAGAGGTTCTGAATGTCAGTGTCACACACTTGGGCCTCTTATTCACTTAGACCGCTATCAAGACAACCATCTAAATTATTCAGTATTTGAAATTTGTTCTTCTGTTTGTAGTTTTTCCATCTTACGGATATGTTAATGGGAGAATCTTGACTCTCTTCCCCAGCTCCTGCTCAGACAGATGTTGATGTTCTTTTAGCTGATTAATTCAATCTACAAATAACTACTTGAACAACTCTTGTAAACTACATGCTGTTTCAGGCACACATAAGTGGACAAGACAGGAAGTGGCCTTGCTGTCTCTGTACTACTAGGCAGCACAGACATGATAAACCAGCACATGATTTTTTTTTTAGATTTATTTTTACTTAATCATATGGAACTGGGGTACAGGCCAGAGATGTGGAGGGTGAGAGGACTCACCAGAAGACAGACAGGGGAGCAGAACAGGCAGAGTGATGAAGTACACTGCTGAGGGGAGCAGCGGACGGGTCAGGAGAGGTCTGCCTCACCATGTGGATCACCTCTGGGGCAGGCAGGATTTGAACTCATGCGGTAGTGGCTTTAGCTTCTTAGTGCTGTACTTTAACCCACTGCGCCACCAGGGAGGGCCCAAATGATTTTGTAAAAAACAAAATACTATCAGATAATAAGTACTGGGAAGGTTAGCACTAGTAAGAATGCAAATACTATGAATAATAATAGTATAGGCAATGACCAGGTGAAGCTAATTGGTAATCAGGGAAGGTCTCTCAGATATTTGAGTGGAAGGCTGAGTAACAAAGCAGTGGTAATAGAGGCAGCTCTTAAGGAGAGTGTAGCTGACAGAGATGAAAGTTGATGCCAAGACCCTGAGGTTGGAGAGCGCTTAAGTTTAATGAACAGGAAATCAAGGTCAGGACAGGAAGAACCAAAAAAAAATAGTAAGTGATGAAGTTGAAGAGGTTAGGCCAAGAGGAGAATCTGCAACTCTCCTAGGTCATTGGAAGAAAGTTTATTCTAAGTTCACAGAGAAGACATGAGTCTTTTAAGCAGGAAAGAGTGACTGATTTGACTTGAGATAATCACTGAAAGGAGAAAGAATTATAGAGAGGCGAGTGAAATCAGCAAGACCAGGTTATCATGAGATATGGCTTGGGGTAGTAGCAGTGAAGAGGGACAAAAATCAAAGGATTCAGACACACTTGTTAGGGATGCAGTCAGTGGACTTAACTGAGAGAGAGAGCCAAAGGTATATCTTCAAAAACTGAACTACGGCAAAATTTGCACAACTAGCTAAATAAATTTATTTTAAATAAATTCACTAAGTAATTTACTCCAGTAAAATTCCTGAATTATATGCTTAAAAGGACTGAATCTAATGTATACTGAAAAAGACTGAATCACAGTTTTTAAAAAAAACTGTGTCCTAGGTATTTGGCTGATAACAACTCTACTAGAAAGAGGTGGTAAATGAAAGTTAAAGCCAGCTTTTACAATTTTCATAAACAATAGCTTTTATAAAATTCCAAGTCACTGGGTCTTTGTTCTTTGAGTCCCCAAGGTTCAGCCCACTCATCAAAACAAATGTCCCTTGTGGGTATCTGTGATCACCTTATCACTTATTTCAAACTCTGTAGGTCAATTTTACCTCCTTTTATTTATCTGACCTTGAAGTCTGTGAGCGAGAGATGTTTTAGCTCCTGCTGTCCTCATCCACAGAAAACCCATGTCCCTGACTCTCTTGTGATTTAAACATTTCATCGGAGGAACATGGACTGTCACACGTGAAAATCTAAACATCACACTGTTTTGTTCAGTGTGTAATCAATAGTGGACCAGCAAAAGCTTCCACTGGCACTTCAGATACTTCTGCTCCTGCTGCAAACCAACTTTGATAACAGAAAGGATACTAGTTTCAGCATCAAAACAAACCTTAAAAGCAGATTCATAGAAATTATGTGACTTGCCCAGGGTCTGACAACTGAGCTCTTAATTCCAAATTTCTCTCCTTTCAGTAAACCTCATCTATCTATGAAGAGTATTACACCGTAAGAATTCTCTTACCATCCTACTAGTGTTTATAGTATTTATCACCAGGAGTTGGTTTCAATGGACTTGCATAGACCCTGTTGGTGAGGGAGGGATTAGTGTTCTCGGGTTACGGGGGTGTCAAACACATTACTCCTCACACTAGACAAGTGAGACCAACAACAGTTTATCAATTATGACTCACAGCCCAGGGGAAGAAGACTTTGTGAACACTCGTTAGACTGTTTCAACTTTATGAACATTCATTAGGGTGCTGAATTCCGAGCAGTGGTTCAACAAAAGACCACAACAGCAACTGAAATAAAGACGTTTATGACTCACAGATTTTGCAAGCAGTAAGCCACATGCTGAAAGGACTGCAAGGGAAGGTCAAGGCAAAGTGCAGAGGCATGACCCAAGACACCTGCTTTTATTCATATCCCTGGGTGGGGAGCCCTTAGGGCGAGGCAGGATTTGTCAGTTCAGATCAAAACCAGCAGGCTTTGTTGTGCACAGTTAAGGGATACACAGGAGAAGGTCTGGGCAGCAACAAACACTATTGATTACAAGAATGCTTGGGAAAATCATATCTGGAATTCACATTTACTGTGATTCTTTTTAAAAAAA